GCACTTCCACGGACTTTGACGCAACGGCACTTACAACAGGCGAGTGAGCAAGTTGATCCTGCCATGTCAGGTACATTGTGCACTGTGCAGTCCATCAAATATTTGCCATACTTTGCAGATTCAAGCAAGTTTTTTTTTTTCTGGACGAGGCTTACCAACAGAAATATCGCTGGCTTCCGGTATGCCTTCATGCCTCAGTCTCCCACAACTTTAAGCAACTCTGCAAACAGAAAAGAAAATTAACTGCTGATTTTAAAATATCAGTGAGGATGGCTTTATTATCTACATCAACTGACTTTTGTATAAGATAAATCAATGTGAGGCAATATGTGTAGCTTACACATTTGGAAAAAAGGCTAGACAGCAACTGAAAGAAAGTCCGTCTTCCAACAGTCGGAATTCAAACGAAACAGTGGCCCACAACGGTCAAGGGGTGAATTCTATGACGCAACATGTGTTCAGAATATTACAAAATAAATAAAATGTCCCCCATTGCTACGTAAATATCATACAATATAACGTACCTTCGAAATATCCCAGCCCGAGAACTTCACAACGCACCGTGCCACAACACAACCGCACCAACCGCCGGCAGCCGCAGAACTGAACAATGGCGGCCGGAAATGACGGCCCCGCGCCGGAAATGAAGGACGCGTTTTAGAAGCAGTCTCAGACTCGTCGCTGCTCACCGTAGCAGGGATTTATGAGGCACTACCGAATCAAAGTCGTTTCGCCTCATTCGGCAACACGAAAACCCTACCAGGACTAGTCCGATGATGAGTTTCCGACTAGGTGGCGTGTGCGCAGGATTATATTTAACCCGCGAGTTGCTGGGGGGGGGGGGGCGTTAAACGCCCCCACTTTTTTCGCCGGGCCATAGCATAAAAACGGCGCGCCGCAGGCGCGCCAAATTTTGGGTACCTGTAGGAAATTGATTGAAGTTTATTGTTACAAAGTTTCAAAAAAATCGGTCGGAAAATTTTTGAGATATCGAGGTTTTAGTGACGTCATGATTTCTGAGTTTTCGACCAAAAACGGCATACGTTAAAAAAATCATATAAAATCACAGAATAGACATACAGACATGCCGTAAACGCCATTAGACTGCCAATACCATGATCAATCAAATAGCTATCTTCGATTATTGATTATCGTTCCGCATTTTCCAAAATCTTGAACTGAATCTTGGCAATTTTTTGTGACTACTTCACGACCATGATACATGAATTTCTTAAATTGAACTTTTTGAGCCAAACACGTACACATATGATAAAATGAATGTCACCATCGTGCTCTACGCCCCAAATTACCTATAAAACATGTGTCACAGGCTGCGAATATCAGTTTTTATTTTCGGGGATATGTGCCTACCCGGTTGACCTGACCTTGACCCTGACCTATGCTTGACTGACCCCTATATGAAGCTGACACTCTTGTAGGCCTTATAAGATGGATTGTGCACCGTTTTGACAGAGTTTATGGCGAGAGGCGCCCATTGCGAAGTCCTGAAGTCCATGCTACTGAAAGTCCGATTTCAGGTGTTTGACCTGACCTTGACCCGACCTGTGACCTCAAAATTCAACTTTAAAGTACTCATCTGAAGCGTCTCGTCGCGCTCTTTCGTTTGCCGCCTCGTGCGTTTCGCTGCGCCTATTGGTTCTCGAGTTATCGGCTGGGGGCGTTTAACGCCCCCCCCCCCCAGCAAACGGTGGGTGGCGAAATACCCCAGCAACTGCCGGGTTAAAGCACGTGCAGGGCGGTGCCTCATTAGCCGACATAATAATAATATGACACGATAATGAAACACGCATGTAACTAGCATGCAACAAGCTTCTGGCGGATTTAATTATGAGACTATGCGTAGTTTTCCGACACAGCGCGAAATCTGTTGATAAGCAGGAAGGGGTGTTAGGGAAGCATTTAAGTTATTAGGTTACCGTTTGTAACCAATTGTTTCACGAGGCCACTCTTTAACTAACAACCCTCAGGCTGATAATGTCCCTATATATAACAGCAAGGTACAATGGACGACCGTGTAACCCACCCCTTGTCATAGAATTGGCTCGTGACATTTTTTTTACAGTGAAGGCTCGGAATTTGGCACACTTGCAATCAGCCGAACAGGATAAGAGAAGTTATCCTAACTAGGCTGAGATGCGGTCACACCCGCCTCACCCACAGTCACCTTTTTGACAGAGCAGGCCCGCCTGTATGTCAAAATTGTAACATACGGCTGACCGTCGAACATCTACTAATCGGATGCCAATCATTCCGAAACGAACGCCGGCATATCACAAGGTACCTCGCTTTACATCGTCTAAATTTTGACATGCCGACCATTCTTGGTGATGACCCCACACTAACAGACTTGGTACTCGACTTCATAATAAACTCTAAACTAGTAGATGAACTCTAGCGCGATGACGACTTAACACTCGCGGGCCCGGGGGGGGCGTTTTTGGCCCCCCCCTGGCGAATATTTGCGATAGCTCCCGAACACTTAAGAATAGGAAAGCGAAACTTTCAGTGCCTTTTTTTCCCATCAATTTGACATCTTCTGAAGTAAAAAATTTGGACCTAACCCCCTTGGTGACGTCACAGGGTCGATTTTTCTAGACCCCTGCACGGCAAATTTCGACGGCACAGGTGGTTAGCTTCAAACAGCGGCCAAAAATAGAGTTTAAAAGATAAAGAAAAATTACGCGTACAGCGGTGTAGACTATGAAGTGGGAAAAAATGCAAAAATGTTTTTGATGACCTGAGGTCAGGTCACCAGGTCAGGTCAAGGTCACTATTTTGAATTTTACCCCAAAAATTATTTCAAGTCAAACATAAAAAACCGGAATATATGTGACACAGTAGGTCATGTTCTATCGATCCTGAAATTTTCAGGTCAATATCAGGTCAGGTCAGGTCAGGAGAGCTAAAAATAAGCGCCAATTTACGTAGTTCTACATTACCTCCTCGACCTGTGGTAAGTAGGGGGAGAGCGGGGCCAGTTGAACCACTTTTTATATATTGACATGCACAGCGAGATCTAGTTGGCATATCGAAAAATGCACAATGCCATGAAAAAATATGCTCTTTTGGCTTTATTTTAAGATATGTAAAATTATGTTTCAAACTATTTTGCTGCCAAACGCATGCTTATAAAACAGCTCTACGCCCGTTTCAAATGACCCCGATGCGAGGGTCAATTGAACCAGCCCATGGGGTCAATTGCACCTATCCTTAACAATGGGATGTTTTCCTCTTTAAGGCCACTTTCTTAAGGAGATATTTTGTCCGGTTTACTTTTCCAAATGCTACATTCAATAGGTCGTTGGAAAGCTAAAAGTGCAAAGTTCCTCATAATAGGTGACATAAAGTACATAGACTATGGTAAAATGGGCGGATGAGGAAAATGAGAAATGTCTCAGGCTATAGTGTGCTTTCAAGCAAAAGGCAGGAGAAAAAGGGGTCAAAAATTGAGCTCTATTAAACTACTATTTCAGTTTAAAAGCTCATTACAAAGGTAGACTATTTCCTTTAATGTTTACAGCCCCTGAACAATAACCATTGCAAAGGTCACCGGGGTCCATTGAAACGGCCTGTGACCCTGTTTCAACTGACCCTCAGAGAAGCGTTTCAATTGACCCCATCCGCTCCCGCCATCTCGCACGCGCCGTAAAGCACATGTCAAACGAGCTGGAGGGACGGCATCATGCTGAATGAAGGGCCAAATAAGGTGTTATTCCGGAGCCAGGAGTTCTTCTTTCAGCAAGCAAAGGTATATGAGATATCACAAAATATTCATAAAAACGATTTCTTCCAAACGTCCCTCAAAAACACAAAAACAAGTGTCAAATCAAAATTACCGTCCGTTTGCCGCCCAAACGCCGTTGACAAAGGAAGTGGTCGAGCGCGGATGCGCAGTGGTGTCGGCAACGCCATATGTTGCATACTGTTGAAAATAAAGCCATGTTTCATCTGACCCCGTGTTTCAACTGGCCCCGCTCTCCCCTACATGCGCATAACCCGGCTCGATTGAGTGACAAATGAATCAATGCCACTAGAGGATACCAAGAAAGATCAAGGAAAATGACTTGTGGATCAATCAAGGTCAAAGGTCACCACGTGACCTCGGTTCAGGTCACTGTATGTAGACACCATTCATACGAGTATACTTGAATGTATCAATACCGTCAAAAGTTACCACAAAGGGCTGATAGAATCATACGAAGTTTGCTCCAGGTCAAAGGTCACCACGTGACCTTGGGTCAGGTCATTGTGTATGACTACATTTCATCTGGAAATAGTAGCAGAACTATTGTAAATACGTATTCTAAATACGTACTGTACAGTAGGAAATTCGTGAAAAATGACGAGCTTGCTAGTATTTTTTTTTTTTACGAGTAACAGGTAGTTTCCCTTCATCACGCCGAAGTTTGTAGAAACTTCTACAATGTTCAATTTAAAGCTCTCATTTACTGTAAAGGATCCATTTTTTCAGAACATTCGTTCAGCTCCGAGTAGAAACGAGTGGCTTATGATAAGCAAACATTTGATTTTTCGGATTCTGGAAAGTTCTGGAAATTTCAACACCTCGTAATTCAATGCGTGCGTGACGCGCGTGGAGCGTCGAACGGTACAGATTTTTCTAGGGGCAATTATGAGGTATAAATATGTGCCTGCGGCGACATGTGTCATTGTTCGTCACATCAAGGATCACGACATGGCATCTCGCCGGGAGCAGGGTTTGTCGCCTGAGGAAATCGCCGCACTTTTGCTGGACGAATCCGTCTCCAGTGGTGATGAAGAGGAATATCTCGATGAAGAGGATACATCTGAGGAAGAGGACGACGTTCATCAATTCGTCGATGAACACGAGCCATCTGATGATGAGCCAGAACAGCAAGATCAAGCCGAGACAGTCCAGCGGCCGGCTGACCTGACTAGATCACAGCGGAAGCTGCTGGAAGCGAACTTTCGTCGGCAAGATCCCCGGCCTGCTGCTACGTATGTTGTCCGAGATCGCCGTCAAAATGCTGGCAGAGTGGTCCACAGAGCCGCAGCCGGCACGTCGCCGCCGAGATCTCGCCAACATTCTCACAGAGCGGTCGGGCGTGTGTGGTCCTGCTCGTCGGATCACTACAGAAAAAGACGCCTTCAAATTGTTCATCACGGACAGCATGCTCAAAAAGATCACGGACAGGACCAACCACAGGCTGGAGATCGAGCGTGGCCGAGTGCGGGAAGCCGAATTGAGACAAAGAGAGCAGCATCTCTACCAGCCTACCACGGAAACTGAAATTGAGGCTCTGCTGGGTCTATTTGTGCTCCGCGGCTTTTATAAGAAGCTGACGGTCAAGCAGCTCTTTGACCCAGTAACGGGACCAGCCATTTTCAGGGCGACGATGGGAGCGAGGAGGTTCGGCATGCTCCTGAACATGCTGACCTTTGACGATCGCAGCACCCGTGACGAGCGCCGAAAGGGGGACAAGTTTTGTCCCCTGCGAGAGCTCTTCGATGAACTGAACACGAATCTCCGTCTTCACTACAAACCGACAGAGTGCATCACGGTTAATGAGAGCCTCCTGCGGTTCAGAGGGCGCTGCTCGTTCCGGATGTAGGGGAGAGTGCGGGGCACATTCGTGCAAAAAATGGATAAATCCATATATCTGTTCTTTGGTTAGTGCAACGGCAAAATTGTTGATTGTGGTATGGAAAGGAACTATTGCAGATTTTTTCCTCTTTAAAAGTTATCCTCTAAAATTATTGTTTCTATTAGAAAAAAATGACTTTTAATAACTCTGAACGTTTGCACGAAACTGCCCCAACTATGGGGCACATTCGTGCAAGGGGTGGGGCACTTCCGTGCACCCTGCAAAGTTCTAGAAATTACCGGACATTACCAGAAATTTACCAAAGGAAATTGGCAGGGGGTCATTTCACTTGATTCCTTTCGACAAGAATGCATTGCACAACATATGTAGAAAGAATGGGCTGGCCAACAAGAATGTGCCAACTGCCGGCCTCCGTGACCTCGCCAAGTTCGCGTGAATTACTCGTCACGACGTCGCAAGCAGCCGAGACTGAGTCAGGCGAGCGTCATTAGTGAAACCTACTATAGATAAAGTCATAAATAGCAAAAACTAAAAAAATATGCACGAATGTGCCCCCAGGCAGTGCGTACACGAACCTGCCCCACAACGTTATTTGTAATATATTTCAAAATTTCTTGTTGAAAAATGACACTTTGTCAACAAACAAGTTTGCAGCAGTTCCGTGAATAGAGTGAGCACCTTCGCCCCCAATTTTGAAAAGCTGAACCACATTTCCGAGTCAGGATCACGAAAATGGATGATATTAGAAAAGTTTGGAAAGCTCACGAATATTACAAATTTGCGTTTTTATCAAGCATGACAGCAGGTACAGTGTTGTCTTCTACGGTGAACGAAGGGCGGCAATGATAGACACATTTCCATAATTTACCTTGAGCTCGTGCAGTCACTCGTGTTCCCATAAACTGCTGAAAACGAATGTGCCCCATGCACGAATGTGCCCCACTCTCCCCTACCTGCCGAGCAAGCTGGCAGGTACGGACTGCTCTTCTACACCGCCGCAGATGCCAACATCAGGTACATGTGGAAGGCCTGGCCGTACTCCGGACGCCCGCAGGAGCCAGACTTGTCGCCACCGAACACCACTCTGGACGTATCCGGCATCGTGCACCACCTGGTACAGGAGGTCAAGGGCTCTGGCAGGAATGTCACATGTGACCGGCTCTTCACCTCGGTGCCACTCGCTGAAGAGCTGATGGCCGACAGGCTGACGCTCTTGGGCACTCTGAAGAGCTCCAGACGCCTCCTACCGAAGGAGTTGACAGTGGCGCAAGGGCGGACGGAAAACTCAACAGAATTCGCCTTCCGACAAGGAATGACATTCGTGTCACACTGCCCCCGCCGAGGAAAGCTGGTCCTCGCCTTGTCGACTCAGCACCAGGCGCCCTTCGTCGACGAGGTCAGCGGCAAGCCGGAGATCATCATGGCCTACAACGCAACGAAAGGCGGCGTTGATGTTCTCGACGCCATGATCGAATCCTACATGGGGAAGCCACCACTACACCGCTGGCCTACGGCTGCCTTCTTCTTCATGCTCGGCGTGGTCGAGATCAACGCAACCACCATACTCATGCTCAACAGAGGACAGTCAGCTGCTGATACGAAGAGTGGCGTCCGGCGTGCCCTCATCTATGAAATGGGAAAACAGCTGGTCATGCCTCAGGTGCACGAGAGGACGGCCAACCCCACTGGGCTGAACAGCAAGTCACTGGACGCCCTCAGGTGTGTCGCCACGCGAGACACCGAAGACAGCAGGGAAGCAGGAGGACGTGATCTAGGCTGCAGTCGCAGCCGACCTAGTGGCAGCGGCGACGTGGCGGCTAGCTGTGCGGCAGGCGGTAGCAGTGGCACTCATTCAGGTGCATCCTCCGCAAAGGGACGCTGCTGGGCATGCCTGGAACTTCTGGTGGGAACTCCTAGCTACAAGCAGCAAAAGTCCCAGCTGACCAAAAAGCCGCCGTGCTGCAAGTGCATGCGGTATGTTTGTGAGCGCCACAGCACTGTGACCCGTATATGCAAAGACTGCAAAGCCGATGGCAGCGCATGAGAAAGCGACATTCGTGAGAGCAAGAATCTTGGAATCGGCTGAGATGCTTTGTGATTTGTGGCATTTCGCAATGCGCTGTGAAGTTTCAGTGTCGTAACCCTGCTTCTGTTTGGTGCATCCTGCTGAGTGTGTAAATAAAAGTTGAAGCTCCGTAAAAACGACTTTTCTATTACGAAAATCTAATCCCGAAGGAAACGAAGAAAACGGCCGAAATCAACGTAACTAAATGAATCGATAGGCAGAGCAGATTGCTGACAGCCAGTCAAATTGAATTCATCACACATACCTAATTGTTAGTGGCAATATTGCACGACGACCGACTTAGCCATGGCCCGATGAATAGCACCTGAGATCCTCATCCCTCTTGGGCCTGGGAGAGGATGCTTTTCGCCCCCCCCCCCCGACTATCGGAATCTGGTCAACGACCCCAAGCTGGGATTTGTTTTTCGTCAATAACTTCAACAAATTTGGTCGGAGAGTTACGGCAGCGTTACCATCGCATTCGTCTTGTCAAGCCGCGTCGAATGATATAAATTTTGTTTGGAAAATATCAAGTTCTATGTTGACCTCATGTGACCTCAAATGACCTTTGGTTGACCCTGACACATGAAAGGTCGTTTATGATGGATTCATACCCGCTGATCACGAATCTTGCATCTATTTTCCTCTAATCCTTCATTTAGAGCCTCTGGATGGCAGAATTGTCTTTATTACTAACTTGAATCAGTGAAATAGCCTCTAACAAGGATACTCTTCTGTGACCTTGACCTCTGATGTGACCTTGTGACCTCGGCAGCCTTGTATCGTAAGATGAACCACAAATAGGGACCTGATGAGCGTCAAAACATTTCAAAACATCTTGGAAGTTAGCACGCAAGATGTACGAAAAAAATGCAAAGTTTGAGGTCAATTTTGAGCATGACCTTGACCTTGACCTTTGATTTTGAGCTCATTTTCAGAATCCTCAGATTCTCTTCTTTCGTTTGACACCCAATTTTGCCGGTTTTAGAAATCCTGCCGTCCTCCAAAACGCTTACTTTGAGATCACTACACATGTGCCGGTTTTTGCCTTTGACCTTGACCTCTGACCTTGAAAATTGACCTGAGGTCAAAAATTTTAGGTGCTTTAGAATCGTCTCGTAAGGGCCTTTCGTTTGGTACCGCTTTTGTTTCCGTAGGTCCCTTATTTACGGAGCTAGACAGGGGGGGGGGGGCGAAAAACGCCCCCCGGGCTGCGGTGGTTGGGATTACCCCCCGGGCCCGGCCGGGTTAAAGGTTTTGCGACCCGCACCTCCCCCTGAGCCTGGAACAGCGGCCGGACTCAGAGACGGGACTATGTCGTTGATACTGCGCCGAAAACTCCAAAAGACCTTGACCCCAGGCCCTGAGCTCAACGATCGGGAGCGATGTGGGGTCGGGGATCGCAAACAGACACGACACAGTTGCCTGAAAAGGGACCGGAGTCCACCTCGCCCCACACACACGCCTTCGAGCTGCGAAGCGGCG